AGGCGGGAGGCCTGGGCGCGCGGCGGCTGCCCCAGTTCTCAATGGTGCGCGTGGCGCGGTCCAGGGAGCTACTCACGCCAGCCGTGGTCACCATGTCGCGCGCCGCCTGCAGCATCTTGAGCACACTGGCCTGGGCCGAGCTGGCCGACAGGGCCGGGCTGGGCGGGCGCGCGGGGCTGGCCAGGCTCTGCACCCCGCTGAAGCAGCTGTAGATGCCCTGGGAGGGTAGGAGACACGCTGTGAGCGCGCTCCCTGCCAGGAGGCTACGCCCCGCTCTGAGCCACCAGCCGCCCAGGCACCTGTAAGTCCTAGGAAGCGACTGACATTTGTGACACGCCTCGTGCGTGCCAGGCCCTGTGCTGCGGAGTTTACCCAGCTCTCTGAGGCTCCAAAAGTGAGCTCCTTCTGAAACCACCCAGATTGTCAATGGCAGGGAGGACTCCGAGAGGAGCGAGCCTGGCTCCCGAGCGCCGCCCTGCCCATTGGAGCTCTCGGGCGTGTGATGCCGGCAGGCGAGCCCTCAGTGTTTGCATCTGTAAATGGGGCCATGGCTAGCTCTGACTTATATGGGCTGGTGCCCCCAAAGCTGGCACTGTCTGGGACGGGGTGAGTACCCACCCTGCTGAAGGCCAGCAGGAAGTCCAGGCGGGACGTGTTGGGCACCGAGTGGCGCAGCTTCCAGTAGACCAGGTGCTCCCAGGCAAAGACCAGCAGGGCCAGCCCCATGGCCACGAGCAGCATGTAGAAGACGCCGGCCATGTTGTCGATGTCCAGCTTGCTGCTCATCACCTCGTTCTTCTCGTTGTGGCAGATCCCCGAGAGCCACACGGTCTCCAGCTTCTGTGTCTCCCCTGGGCGGGGGCACACCCAGCTCAGCAAGGGCCTGCCCAGTGCTCACCCAAGTCTGAGCGAGGAGGGGTGTGGGGCCAGGGTGCCAGCCCTTATGGGACCACACAGGGAGCCCGGCCAGGCAGGGACAGAACTGGGAGCAGAGGGCGTCAACGAGCAGGAAGAAAAGAACCCCGGGCAGGGGCCGGGTGAGCAGTGCCAGCCTTTGGCATACCCACCCCCTCGTGCCTAGTGACAGCCCGATGTCTGGGTAAATGTTATCATTCATTTATTCATTGAACGCTCATTGATCCCCTACACGCCAGGCCTGGAGCCAGGCACACACGAAGAGGAGATCGCAAGCTCCTGCATGGTTATCACTCTCACTCCTCTACGGCACTGATGGGAAATCAGACCATTATTTATCTAATAGGGTTCAAACTCTAAACTCAAAGTTCTCTCTGGGTTTTGGGGGCAGGCTCAGCTGGACCCCTCACACTGTGAGCCCCTGATGCCAAGGCAAGCCTGGGCCTCAGCTCTGGGACTAGGCAGACCCTTGGCACTATCCAGGTCATCTCAAGATGGAAAAAGAAAGGAGTTAAGCCACCCCCAACCCCACTGTGTGGCCCGAGCTCCTTCCTATCTTCCTTCCCTCCAGGGTCCCCCCAGTCCTATGTCCCACTCCCTCCCGGCAAACGCATTTCTTCCCCAGGTCTCCATCCAATCCCTCCAAATACCGCCCCCAGACACACACACACACACACACACACACACTGCTCTAATCTCTCACCCCCAGAGCCCTCTCCCTGTCCACAGGCCTTGGGGACTCAGAGAATGGTGGTGATGCTGACCAGCCGTTGAACAGCCATCCTCGCCACAGGCTCCTCGGCCCACCCTGGGCCCACCCCAGCCCCCAGCAGCAGCAGCACCCACCGTCCCCCAGGAACTGCAGGAGCGCCAGGTCTATGGCTCGCTTCCAGTGGGACTCCTTCTGCATGGCGATGCCATAGCCGGTGGTGGCAAAGACCTTGCCAGAGCCAATGGTGACCAGCTTGCAGCCTTCATCCTTGCCTGCCATGTAGTTGAGGACAGCGGCATCGTAGATGAAGGCATCCAGCTTCCTAGGGACAGGTGGAGCCCTCAGGCCAGGGATCAGACGGGGTGGGGACAGCAAACCTGGGCCTGACGGGCCTGGGCCACAACACAGGACAGATGGATGATCAGAGCATCCTCTGCTTCCCTTGGTCCAGGGTGGAGAGAAGAGCCCCTCCCATAGCTCAGGGACCCCACCTACCCTCTTCCTCAGAGAGGCCAGAGGGGACTCACCCTCTCTGCCCAGCCCAAAAAGGCCACAACCACCACCTTAGGGCAAGGCTGAACCCTGGTCAACACGGCTGCACATCTGGACCACATGAGAGCATCCATTTTTGCTTCAAGCTTCACTCTGCCCTAAGGCCTCCCCACTCAGCCTCACCGTCCTCAACATGGGCCTCTCAGGAAGGGTCGGAGCTGAGTCTGGTCACTGGAGGGACGTGTGGGGAGAGACAGAAGGTGAGTGCAGAGCTGAGGACCCACCCCATCTTGAGGCTGGTGAGCGCGTCCTCCACAGAGCGCTGGTTGAACTTGACCATGTGGGTGTGCATGTCTCGGTAGTTGCTGCGAATGTTCCGCTCTGTGCTGCCGTTGGGCACCGTGCCGAAGCGAAAGGGTGGGTACTGGTCTTGAGGCCGCTGAAACTGTGGGCAGAGGGCAGCAGCCATCCATGACCCTCACCCGAGCCTTCCAGGCACCACTTCACCCACCCCCCGGCCCCATCCCTCGACCCCATCCCCATAGTCTGCACTTGCATAGTGAGAGCAAAATGCTCTTAGATTCTGTCCAGGCCACTCCAGTGTTACAAGTGGGGAAACCGAGGCCAGGACAAAGAGAGACTTACCCAAGGCCACTCCATCAGTGGACCTGAGCCATCTCTCCCTTGCCCCCCACCTGAGACTCCCCAGCTCCAGCCTCCAGGTCAAATTCCACTGACCCCAACTGTCCTGTGTCCCACCCAAGGCCTGCCCCTGCCCTGGGCATCTTCCCGCCCTCTACGGCCATGGCCCCTGAACCTTCTTGTCACTGAGGCCCGACACAGTGTCGATGTACTGCTCCTGGATCATGAAGGCAGCCAAGTTGGCAGTGTAGCTGGCAAGGAAAATGACAGCAAAGAAGGCCCAGACCAGGACCATAATCTTGCTGGTGGTGCCCCGGGGGTTCTCGATGGGCACCGAGTTGTTGAAGACCAGTGCCCACAGCAGCCACACAGACTTGCCGATGGTGAAGGATGGGCCACCAGACTCTGGGGGCGAGAGGGTAGACACAGCACAGAGGGCTCAGCTCTCAGGCCACCGGACTCCACAGCTCCTGTCCCCACTCTGTCTTGGGTGGGGACCCCATTCCTGGTCATCCCCACCCCAGGGCAAGACAGCTCACCTTGTCTCTCTCACATATCTGATTGGCCCCTGTGTGCTGTAGGAAGGCCAGAGACCACCCCCAGGATCTGTCTGCCTCCGAGGGGCCCCTGTGGCCCTGCACCCACCCCTCTGGGACACTGAGGCCCTGCTCTCCATCCCAGGCCCAGGGGAGAGCTTACTCTTGCCGCTGGTGAGGTTCTGGTTGTAGCTGACTGGGCTGAAGTACTCGAACATGAAGACAGTGACAGCCACCACGGTGAGGCACATGACGAACATCATCACCCACACCGAGGGGCTGTAGGGTTCTGGGAGCAGAGGGCAGCGGCTCAGCGGCCTGGGCACTGCCCTCCACCCACAGCCCAGAGGATGGGGTGCAGACAAGAGGGTCCACGTGGTCAAGCCCCGTGGACTGAGCAGAGGGTCTCTGACTCTCAGAGCAGCAGAGCCCCAGGAGAGACCCCCCCCAAGGGAGGTCAGGCTCACCAGCATCCCCCCCCATCTGCCCTGGGACAGGGTCCCCTCACCCCACCCTAGGACATCTCCCTTTGGCTTCACACCTCCCCTGGCTCAGAGAAAGAATGTCTACACCCATGCTCTTCCCGGCCCTCTCGCATCCCCCTGCCTGCAACCGAGCCTCAGCCCACAAACCCACATCAGTGAGCCCCAGGATCTTCTCCGTCCTGCTCTCCTCCTTCAGGCCAGCCCACTGCCCACCCTCCTGTCTGGACTCCCCTCTCTGGCCCAACACAGATGAGCTGGTGGTTCTGCCTGGAATCCAGTTCTCAGAGGTCAAGTCTCACACCTCATCCTGACACAGACGTCATGGCCCAAGGAGCTGGGGAGACCGCCCTGAGGTCTCTGACAAATCCTATCAGTCGCCCTGAGTAAGGGTCACTGCTGCCATAAGCACCTGCTCCTCTGATGGGATGCCCATCTATGAAGTGGAGTTTGTTGTCTTCCCCATGGCTGAGGAACCCCGCTCAGAGAGGTTCAGCGACTTGCCCAAGGCCACACAGCAGGAAGGGGAAGAGCCGGATTCCCTCCTCTGCTCCTGCCCGAGAGGCTCACCTGTCCTCGTGGCTCTCTGTCAACCCCACACTGCAAGTCCCAGCTGACCTCCGGACGGGCCACTCCGGGAAGGCCAGGACTGTAGCTGTATCCCAGCACCCGGTGTGGGGCCTGGCACAGGGGCTGCCTTACAAATGCTGATTGCCTAATCCAGTCAGAAACCAGCACCACTTCCCACGCCCTGGGGGTTTCTCCAACGCCCCAGTGAGCTTCGCAGCCCACTGGGCACGTCCTGAAGCCACCTGCCTTTCTGGGGCCACCATTTCCCACTCCCCTTCAGCCCCCCGCCTTACGCTACACCCAGGCTAGGAGGCACCCAAGGCCACTGTGCTTGCCCTCGGAGGGCCCACCGTGCTCCTCGTCCCCACCCGAGCTCCACACACCCACGTGCGGGTCCCTCCGCCCCAGAGAATCCTCGCCCTCGCCCACCCGAGCCGCACCCAGGAAGGCTGAAGGAGACACGGTGCCGTTGCTGCGCGCCACCATCACGCTGATGCCCGTCTCCACGAAGGGCACAGAGAAGTCCACGATCTCGGAGCGCTCCTCGTTGATGGTGAGGGAGCCGATGGCCATGTCCGCCCGCTTGTAGTATACCTGGGACCATGGAGGGCTCCCACAGCCTGCAGCACTCTCCCCAGCCTCCCCCAGCCCCCCTTCAGCACCCATCCCACCTGGGGCCCTCAGAGCTCCGCTTCCAGTGCCAACCACCCCAGGGGGCATCGTCAGTAACAGCCCAGCCTCCCCTGCCAGCTAGGAGCAGGGTCCCCCCCTCGCTGGTCCCAGCACAGGAGGAAACGCCCTAGGAAGAGCTGGGGGGCTGGCGGGCTCGGGGGGGCCCGGGGCAGGCCTACCTCCCCGATCATGCCGTTCCACACGCCGCGCACCCTCTTGCCATGCTTGCCGTTGGTCACCAGGTACAGGTCGTAGGAGAACCTGACCGCCTTGGCCAGCTTCTTGAGGATGTCGATGCAGAAGCCCTTACAGCAGAGCTTGGTGTAGGGGGCTGTGTCGCCACTGCTGCCGCCGAGAGGAAGCCAGGAATCAGAGCCAGCAGCTCTGCCCAGCCCGGCATGTGGACCCCGCCCCCATACCCAGCAGAGGGCACACACAAGCCAGCCCCACACACGCACACCAGGCCCCCGTGTGTTCTCACGGACCTGAAGGTGTGGTTGCTCTGCCTGCGGCAGGGCACAGTGTTGGGCACACAGCCGCCGGTGCCAGGGTCGGGGCTCTCCACAATGACAAAGGGCCGCTCCTCCAGTGTGGCCACCGTCAGGTGCCGGCTGTCCACCACGGGCTGCAGGGAGGCACTGTAGCGAGGCCACACTGGGTACTTCATGTGGAGGACGCCATGGTCCCAGCGCCCCACCTGCAGAGGGCGACCAGGCTCAGCCCAGGACCTCCAGCCCTACTGCTCCCACCCTCTAGGTGAGGCCTCTGGCGGGGCTTGACGGGGCCAAGAGTCTCCCTCCCGCACCCAGGGCTGCTGGGAGCAGGACAGAGCAGGGCCTCAGGTGGGATATTTGGAGAATTAGAGAGTCAGGGCAAGGGGCTGGGCACGGACCAGAAGAGAGGGCTGGCTCCCTGCAGCCTCCTCCCCGCTCCAGTCCTGTGTTTTCCAGTCCAGCCTCCACACTGCTGCCGGCCCACAGCATCTTCCTGAAGCCCACACCCAAGTCTGTCTCACCACACTCACTTTCCCGGCCTTAGTATAAAGTCCTTAACCCAGCACCCCCAGCACCCCTCTCTTCTTCATCTCCACACCACCAAACACATCACTTAAAGATGCCCCAAACCCTCCTGCTTCTCTGTCTATACCAGGCTAGTATCCCTTCCTGGTGGGCTCCTACTCAACCTTCCACAACCCAGCCCAAATGTCCCAACTTCTGTGATGCCTTCCCCAGTTTCCTCCTTCGAAGGCAGAACTAATTCCTGCCGCTCTTCTCTACTCGCATAATGCTTTGCACACATCTCTACTCAGGCACCATCTCCCGTCTATTTGTTTGCGCTTCAGCCCCGCGGGCGCAGCTGTGGGTTACTCCTCCAGGGGCAGGACTACGTGTAAGTGCGGTAGATAAGCTCTGTAGTGGAGGGAGGCCAGGGTGTGGTGGGAGCCCAGAGCTGAGGTGCCTCACCCAACCTGGGGACCTGGAAGCTTCCCACTGGAGATGTTTCAGCTGAGACCTGAAGGCTGAGGGGCTGGATAAGGGACAGAAGGGACCCTCTGCTCAGCTGTGGGCACAAGAGGGGCTGGGGACAAAGTGAGAGGAAACGGAGGGCCCCTGGGCTCACCCCCTTCTCACCATCTCCCAGAGGCGGTGCCGGTTGAGGGAGATGACAACCATGGTGGGCTGGACCAGGTACCCACCAGGGCTGAAGGAGAAGTCTCGGCCCTCCCAGGTGATGTTCAGTAGGTGCCTGCAGGTGGGGAGAGAAGCCAGGGTTTCCCTTAGCCCCACCTGCAGCCCCCGCTCAGGACCAGACAGCGGGACCTCCCCCATCTTCTCTCACCACCACTGACGACAGGGACATTTGCTGTGCGCTTACTGACCGCCACCATTCTCACAGCACCCTCACACCCCTATCTTTTTTTCAGATAAGAAACTAAGGCCCAGAGAGGTGAGGTAACTGGGCCCCAGGCACACAGCTATCGGGAGATGTGTCCAGCGAGACCAAGCTCACTGCCCCCCAGGTCCCCCCGAAGCGCACCCCTCACCATGCTCGTGCCCTGGGCAGGTGCCCACCTGTAGAAGGCCCCCCTGGCAGGGCTAACAGGCCCGGGGTGGCTGCGACAGTCCCCAGCCGGGGCAGGCAGCGCGCCGTGCTGGCGCCGGTAGCCATGCGCGCCCAGGGCCAGGATGGCCACGCCGTCGCGAACCTTCTGGCGCAGGCTGAGCCGCCAGCTCTCGGTGACCACGCTGATGAGGCCGACCGGGAAGAC